AACGGACCATTAAATAGTTGAGCTGTAGAAAGGCGTAAATTGCCCACCTTACTAGAATTTTAAATCAAATCATGAATCTTCAGTACGGAAATTGGTTGAATGTTCAACAAATTAGAAATTCAAGAATATAGTTCTCATACTGGCAAGAATAGGTGGTATTTTTCCAGGCTATTGTAATGGGGTTTTTTACTCGAGTGGAATTGACGTCCGAGCTGGAGGCGAGGTACATCATCGACAAATCTGAAAAATTTCAAAATACGAAAAAAAATGGAATTATCCAATTTGATCCCTGCGCAGTTCTACCTTGTGCTGTACAATTTCAAAATTGTCCTATCTAAATTTCCATACTTAATTTTGCTTATTTTTGTGTTTTGAATATTGTGTCAAAATTTGAACTCGTTCTTACCATTACCTGACATCTTTCACAGTTGAAAATCTTTTTTTTTTAGGTTCTAAAAAATTTGCGCTACATTTGATAATTCCATGAATCAAAAGATATTTTTTTAAGTGACTACACATGTGGGCAAAGCTTCACGGAGGCCTTTTTTAATTGCAGAACCTTTAATACTCAAGAGTGTATCCCCTTCAATAAAGCCATATTTTCTTCCCTTTTAAAGAATTCTTGGTTTTATAATTCAGAACTTTTGGGTTCCGGAAAAAACAAAACCTTGGTGTTCTTGAATGAAGAGCATCGGAGTTCTCAAATTAAGGCCATTCTCGTTCTTAATATTTTTTTTGGTTCTAAATATAATCTACTCATTTTTATAAACACTTTGTTATTCAAGGTGTACATTTCAACAGTTCAATTGATGTTGCATTGATGATCAATTATCCCAGAACTTTATCCTTTTTAAATATTTTTCATTTAAGAATCTAAGGGTTTTTGATCTAAGAACATTTCTCACTTGAAATAAGTATGTTTTTGGTATTCTATTTTGGGGATTCATTTTCTGATATTGAGTTACCAGCGTCTTATTCTTAGTATAATGCCTTCTAGAACCATGAGTTTCACAAAATCAGTAACTTGGTTCTGGGAAATAGTTACTTCTTCTCTTCGTACATAAAACCTTGTTGATAAATCCATAAGAAAAATAAATTCCTCAAATTTCCATCCTGGACTACAAATTTCTTGAGAAAGTGCATTTAAAACCCAATGAAGAATAATAATATTTAAAAATAATGCGTGATCATTGATAATTTGACAACAATCAAATTATGTATCGGTGAAGTAACATTTCTTTCATTGAGAAAAATATAATCCATACACAAATTAATCAACCGAATTCCTTATAATGCGATAAACTTGTGGATAAATGCCGAGAATTTATCAATTAGTTGAAAAGTTTTTGGCAAGTGTGTTGGAAGTTGAAAGGTCGCATAGCTGAGTCGTTTCCGGGAAGCGAGGAAGTAAAACGACCAAAAATAGCACAAAATTTTATATGAAATGAGTCTGCAAACTTCCGTACTGTAGCGCAAGAATTGGCTCGCGTGTAAATTGAAAATGAAATGAGAAAAATCAAACGATTGCGCGTGAATGTCACGGGACCATGAGTCTCTCTCTTTTGTGTGCCTTCCCCGCAGAGATAGCCTCGTCGGTGAACAGCAACTTTTCATTCATGCTTTTGCCTGTGTGGCTACGTGCGACTACAGCGACACCCTCTGGCAAATTGTGGCAAGAAGAAACTTCTTGGAATATCTCTACGTGATGATCAAAGCGTATTCATGCCTCTGAAAAATTCAATAATTTTCTCTTTAACAGAAAATTAATTAATTCCGTGAAGAAACTAATTTGATTAAGAATAAAATATTTCTTCAATTTCATGGACGATCTCATTGTATGAAAAATTCTTCCTTTAGTCTGGAATAACAAACCTGCGGATAAAAATTGTATCAAAACTCATTGATATTGACGATTATTTCAACTTTTGCGTAACAAAATCCATTTTAATTTCATCAAGCCATTTATTCATTCCATTTGCCTGCTTACCACATATCAGATTGATCAACTGGGATCATAAATTAAAATAGGCCTCCATTTAATTGAATTGTTCCGGAGGAGAATATTATGATTCATTTGATTGACGTTTAGTACGCGAAGAGAGAGAAAAAACAATTGTACATGTAGAAATGTCAAACGTTTAGTGTACGAGTGACTAAAGTATCCGGAGATATTGATTTCCGCTTCCTGACTTGTGTACACACCGCACCATAGCTCCTTGCACGATCAAACTCAGCGTATATATCATCCATTCGTCTCATGCTTCTACTTCATCTAGTTCTCCATGGTTTATAACGTCGAATATGTACGGTATAAAAATGTAGAAAAAAGAAGAGGATAGATCGTAAACTCCAGTTGGACGGTCCAATAGCATTAGAAGGTTTTTGCCCACGTATGGATGGATTCAAAGACCTTTGAAGTGACACGTGGATGAATTCGAAGTAGAAATGAATTTCATTTCGTATTGTCCTTCCGTTTTCCATTATTCTGAGAATTTATTTTCTATTCTACGTAAGCATCAACAATAAAAATAAACAACAAGAATTCATTTTTCTATTTTAATTAAACGTTCAATTTCTTTGGCATAATATTTGACTGTTTTTTGGCATACTTCCACACCGAAACAGCATTTTCTCGTCAAAAAACGACCTATCACACGTAATGGAGTCCCTTCACTTATTTGCACATTTGATGTTTTGCATTGGGACCTTCTCTGCCGAAATTGTAATCCTCACGTTCCAATCACCGATATACATATTGGTTTCTACTAAATCAAAATATATCAATCCAATTAAAAAATGAATGGATCCTCTTCGAAAAGGGCACATGATGACATCCATCTGGAATTGACAACAAAGATTATGTCTGATCTTTTCATTAAACGTTTAATTTTTTGTCATAATATTTGACTGTTTTTTGGCATCTTCTACACCAAAGCAGCATTTTCTCGTCAAAATGACCTATCACACGTAATGGAGTCTCATTTTTTTACACATTTGAGGTTTTGCATTGGCACCTTCTCTGCCGAAATTGTAATCCTCACGTTCTAATCACCGATATATGTATATTGAATTCTACTAAATCAAAATATACCAATCCAATTAAAAACTGAATGGATCCCCTTCGAAACGGACACACGACGATATCATTCGTCGGACAATCGTTGGACTTCTTCACACCGGATATTTATAAATAAAGATTATGTCTGATTTTTTAGTAGAATTTTTTAGGTTTCCTTCCCAAGTTATTGGCAATCAAAGTCAATTTTAATACCTAAGAATTTAAATGTAATTTTTAGTAATTGCTTCGCTTATATCGATTGGCTTATGTTCATATTCATGCTGGGTCTATTGCATATTTGTATTTGGCACTATGTGAGGATTAGAGATGTGAGGGACAAAAATGACCGTCAATGACCACTATGACCGGTAATTACCGCAGCGAGAATCTGACCCTATGATCGGAAAAAAAAGACAATTGGCCATAAGCATGAAATGACCAAAATCAATTTTGACCATCAATTACCATCTAAGGAGACCCTCAATTTTCGAATACTAGTTCAGCAATTTCTACACTGTTGAAAGTTTTTAGCCGAAATTGCCCATTCCCTTTTCGGAAATTTTTATCACATTTAAGTTTCACTAAAATTTCAAGGAATTTCTTCATTGAAAATTCGGTATTTCGGGGAAAAATCAATGAGAACTATAAAATTTAGTTCAATTATTTCCTGAAAATTAATAGAAACTTGGAAAATTTCAATAAACATATTCTTGAATTTTCAATTATTTGAAAATTCAAATAAATTGAAGCATTCTCATCTTCATACTTCTCAAAATTTTCCAATTTTATTGAATTTTTAGTGAAATCTGAAATTTCATGGTTTTTTGCTTCCGAATGGAAGCGTAGCAATCCTTCGATTTTGACGTTCTTTAATTTCGATTGGAAATGATGTAGAACAGTCTGAAACGCAATAGTATATTACGCAACAAGTGCGTAATGGGTTTTTTGGCTCGTGGGAAGTTGTAAAACGAGCCGAAGGCGAGTTTTACAATCCCACGAGTCAAAAAACACCATTACGCACGAGTTTCGTATACTATTTTATGTCATAGGGCCCAGAATCCGCGATTCTACCGAGCGAAGCGAGGTTAGAATCAGAAAGTTCAAGATTGTCATCACAAGAAAATATGAAGTTTGGCGACCATGTCTGTATGTGACCACATCCATTGCCCCTTTCCAGTGGTCAATTTTTAGAAAATTGAGTAATTAAGTGGCTAAAGTAATTCCAAAAAATCTGAAATATTGTCAGCTTATGGGTATTAATGAGGACTAACTCTGTGCAAAATTTCAGCTCGATCGATCTAATAGTTTTGAAGAAAAAGCGATTCGTTTTTAAATCGTTTTCCGCAAATATCTTCAAAATTAGGAGACCGATTTCGATTTTTTTGTTTTCAAAACATTCGTTTCGATGTCTTCTATCTAAATCAATCAAAACATATATAGCAGTTCGTACAAAATTTTCGAGATATTCCAGTTTTTCCGTTTTTTCATAGAAAAACTGTGTAAATCGCTTACTAGCTTTTGTGCAAAAATCGAGATATCAACTTGAAATTTGGACAGAAAATATGTATAAAAAGTACTTATGCGAAGTACTATAATCAACGTCTTTTGAAAAGTTCGAATCAATGTAATATTTTTTATCACAGATGGAAACCTTTAAGATACTCCATTGTGTTTAATGAATGATTTTATCAAGAAACTTCTATACCGATGTTAAAGTATCCCATTCTTTTATTCAGACACTACATTTACCAACATTCAATTGCCAATTGGCGTGACACTAATCATTCCTTTATGCCTCAGTCACCGGTGTCATTAAGGAATTGAGAACAATAATTCGTAAAACGTGATTTGCAATTTTCATCTGAATGATAACAACTCTATTAGTTGAATTGATTAAGTATAATGTCTGTTTATATAATATAATATTTTTTATGATTTTCAGGTACTGGTGAGTCGGGAAAATCTACATTTATTAAACAGATGAGAATTATCCACGGCTCTGGATATTCGGACGAAGACAAGAAGGGATTTATCAAGCTCGTTTACCAAAATATATTCATGGCGATGCAGTCTATGATACGGGCGATGGAGCTTTTGAAAATTCAATATGGAGATTCCTCGAATGCAGTAAGTCAAATAAGGAAGCAATTTTTCTCGCCCCATGTGAAATAAAAATCAAGAAATTTTCAAGAATTAAAAAAAATTAATTTGAATGCAATTTGAATTGTAATTTTTATTCAATAGGAAAAAGCGGAATTGGTGAGGAGTATAGACTTCGAAACGGTAACAACGTTTGAAAGTCCATACGTAGAAGCCATTAAGGATTTGTGGGCAGATGCTGGTATTCAAGAGTGTTACGATCGTCGACGAGAATACCAACTAACGGATTCAGCCAAATAGTGAGTATTATTGAATCCAAGCAACTGGTTCAAATGTTTTACATCTGTAAAACATTCTTTTCCAAATCTCAAAGAGTCAATCGTTATTTTCTCCCTTGATTAATTTTCCTCATATTTCGTTGATATTTGTATTACATATTGTTTGCCTTCTTTGACCTTTGACTCCTGACTTGAAGCTTGGTCTTTCATTTTCGGGATGGAAGAAAATGATGTTATTTTTTTCATTTTCGGTTAACTTGAACTGAATTGGTTGTACTGTTTCCCGAGATATTGAATTCTGCAGCGCAGTGGTAAAATGAGATAAGTCAAAAAATCTGATATAGAATATTTTAATTTTGTAAATACTTCGGAAACTAATGAGACAATTGAGCACAGAAAAAAAGGCCTAACTCTTCTCCCCAAACCTACTAGTTTCAAAAATCTTCACTCATGAGTGTAGATTTCATTGTCTGACGCATCTTGTTTAACAGTTCGCTTTTCAGTGCAAAAGAAGAACAGTTTGTTGATTGAAGATCAGAGCAATTCATCAACTGATTCAGATCAATTTCGGCTTAAAAGACTGTCCAAGAGTTGAGCGTGTTATCGAAATCATACACCTGTATAATTCGTTCTTGTCGATGCATATCGACAATTCAGGAGTTTAGCCGGAGAATAAATCTAACGATTACCTAGGAAACATACGGTTTTGACAGGAAGAATGTCAGGGGACAATTTTGTAGGCTACGCCTAGTTTTCTACAAAAAGTTATCAGAATTTCGCATAGGAAGCGATCCATGTGGAAATGTCTCCAATACATTTACTACACTATCTCCGCCATTTTTTAATTGAGGGGAAGATTACAGTTGTTCTCCGCTCTTTTTTTAAATCGAATATTTATTCATTAGAACCCCCAAAAAAAGAAGACATCATATATGCAGTTCGATTGTAATTCCGCTAATTTTCAGTGGAGTGGAAAAGTCAAAATTTTTCTCCTTGTTCGTTCTTTTTTAGTTTACTCTAACGCTGACAGAGAATTTCTTAACAAAATGACCGATTACACATTATTATTATTGGTCTCTTAATTCCTTGGCACATGTGTTTGAGACCTTGTCTACAGAAATTATCATCCGCACATTCTGATTATACGATATACACGTTGAATTTGACTAAATTGTGAAGTACATTGAACATTGTACAATTCAAAATTGTCAATGATTAATTCCTTGTGCGCAATTCGAAATGCATAATTTGAGTATGTGCAATTCTAAAAAAAACCACAAAATTCATAAAACTCGGGTCGGCATTTTTTGATTTAGTTTTTCTTGAATGCCACTTGTTCAAATGAATTTTTTTGTACGTTTTTCGTTCCTCGTTTTAGTTTCTTATAGAACTTCAATTCCTGTGAATCGAATAGAAATAATTAAATCGCAATGTTTTCGAGTCGAAAAGAGAAAATTGGATATTGAGTACATAATGTTACAGCTACCTTATGGAGATAGATCGAGTGGCAGCACCAAACTACCTCCCCACAGAACAAGACATTCTTCGCGTGAGAGTTCCCACAACTGGTATAATTGAATATCCATTTGACTTGGAAGAAATACGGTTTAGGTATGTCAGATGGAATGGAGCACAAAACAACGAATGATCAACTTGCATCTTGGGATTTTACTGCTGTGTTACAATTTTCCCTCATTTTATCCCTCTGTATTTGCATCGCTGTCACTAATTTTTCAGTTCTCTCTTGGGGTATCTTCTGTATAGTGTTAATTCTTTGTTTTATTTTTCATATTTCCTGTGTCAGATGTAATTGGATCTAATGAATTCTCTGAAAAAAGTAATATTATGATTGGTCATGGAGATTTTGTATGTCTGCTATATTTATTTATAAACATCGGTCAATATCATTTCTGAATATGACAAGAATGCTAACTTGGAAGCAAAATAAATGGATCAAATTATTCATCAAATTATTCATCAAATTATTAATTATTTCGAGGTGACAGCAGCCTTAATAATTTTTTTATTGATGGCACTGTGCATCGCTGATGTTTGATAACAAAATTCTTTTGCTCTGTTATGAATCGGAAAAAAAAACATTGTAGCTAATCAAAACAGTGTGGTCGTTTTCCTGATTATAGAAATACCTTTTGCATTATTCATAGACAATACGTTCTGTTTAGAAAGAAAATGAAAGCGATATGATTTTAATATTTGAATCAACTTCCGTGACTTTTCGTATATATACACTGATAGAAGTATTTATAATAGTTGCTGTTAATGAGGCTTCTTAACTGTTATCACGATTCGTTAATAGTTAACGAATTTAGTTGCTTCGTTAACACCAACTCAATCGGTCTACCGTTTCTATCAGTGTATCGGTAGAACTGATGCCGTCACCTTGAGATTTTTAAAAGTCTCCAAATCTCCACTGGATCCAATTACACTATTTTCATTATTTTACAGGCAGTTAATGAATTCTGCACCCTGCAATAGGTTTCCACATAAAATAACTGTTTGATTGATTCTTGAAAATTTATTAGATGTTTTATTTATTCAATTTTACAAAATAATTTTTAACCATTTGAAAATGTCTAATCTAATTATTTTCAATATAAAAATCATTTCTGTTGCATGGCATGCATTATCACGGTGGCTTTTCCTATGTTTCGCAGTTATATTAGCGACCTAGACCGTATCGAAAAACCAGATTATCTTCCTACTGAGCAAGACATTCTTCGGGCTCGAGCTCCCACAACAGGAATTATTGAATACCCCTTCGATCTGGACTCCATCATATTTAGGTATTAATTCAATGCAAGAAAAAAGGATTAACTTCCAACTGTTTGGAATTATATTCGATTAAAGTAATTGAAATTTATCGACTTGACTCTCTCGATATAAATTTTATGAAATAGGTAGATAACTATTAATTTTTTGAAGGTAAAGCAACATTCCAAATCCAAAAAATTGCTCTATGACGATTACAGAATAGAAAATGGTAATGAAGCAATTCAAATTTGATCTTGAATCATCACTACGATTGAGAAAATGTGGGAATAAAACACGAGGTTGCGGTTGCATGTCAGAAAGAAATTTATGTATTCATTTCTCACTTCTCCAATTTACAATTTCATTCATTTTCTTTTAAATATTTTCTTTGCTTGGCTGTGCTTGACAATAGAATCTCCACTGCTATAATGGGCAACAGGAAGACGTCTAATAAAAATTTTAATAACAAAAAATTACTTTTTCAACTTTTTAAAAACGGAAAAGACCCATTTTAGGGAGATCCTAGTGCGATTCGTTAATTAATTTATATATTTGCATGATGGAAAACCAATAAAGCTTTTAATGTTCATAAATCACATGCTAATAACAATAAGATGAAGAATGTTATACTTCAATTCAGATAAACTTATTCATTCAACTCTTTTTCTTCTAACGACTGCACGTTTATAGTAAAAAAAAAATGAAATTCACATTCGTGTGGTGTTTTCTTTAGTATTCTAGCACTGAGAATGATCTTTATTATTCTTTCAGGATGGTGGACGTCGGCGGACAGAGATCTGAGAGAAGAAAATGGATTCATTGTTTCGAAAATGTCACTTCCATCATATTTTTAGTAGCTTTAAGTGAATATGATCAAATTTTATTCGAATCAGAGAATGAAGTGAGTTAATATAACACATGAGAACTCAATAGTCTAGGCTAACGAATGGTATTTGATTGGAGTACGTCTTTTCATTTTCAGAACCGAATGGAAGAAAGTAAGGCGCTATTCAAAACGATCATAACATATCCATGGTTTCAGCACTCCTCCGTTATTCTGTTTTTAAATAAGAAGGATTTGCTGGAGGAGAAGATCATGTACTCTCATCTCGTCGATTATTTTCCAGAATATGACGGTAAACTGAATCTATTGTATCGACGTAAATGAATGATTTCCCGAAAAAATACTGAGTGGTTGAAAAGTTGAAGAAGAAATGTGCCGAGTGAATATGCAAATTATTTTGGGAATATTCTCTGAATATGAGAGATTTGAACAATTTCATTGAAACAACTTGTTTAAAAGATGTTATGAGCTCTAAAGAATGTCTTGATATTTTTTTCCAAATTTTCCAGTTTCCGAGATATTTATAAAATTGCTTACATGCAATTTCCGAGTCTTTTTCAACTTCTCACATTGCTGGAAAATCTTTCATATATTGAACATTAAGGAATTCAGTCATTGACTGTTCAACATTATTGCTATGAATAAAAATATTCAAATGGTCTAGGACCAAAGCAAGACCCTGTTCCAGCACGAGAATACATCTTGAAGGTTTATTTATCCTCGAATCCTGATCCAGACCGACAATGTTACTCTCATTTCACCACTGCAACAGGTCTGATGAGAAGAGAAAGCAAATAAAATTTGAAAAAACTAATTGTAGTGCTAGATTTTGCCATAAACAGCATTGTACAGACTTGAATATTTCTTTCCTTTTGGTATTTAAGAACAACAATAAATGTCGAATGTTGGGATCAGACGAAATGAGAAAAGGCCGATAAATTAAATTATTGCTCGGTGTTGCATAAGCTGAGTAGCTTGTTAACAGCACAATAAAGGCTTCCTAGATATGTATTGACGCTAATACAATAAACTGTCCTTCGATCAAGTTTATCCTGAATTAGAAGTAATCCTCAACCCCACAGAAATATTTTATGCGTAAGAAATTATTTCTTTCTTGGTAATAACATCATAACTTAATTAGTCAATTCAATTCTTCAATTAAATTATTTAATTATTCTCCGTTTGTGCACAAATTGAATTTGTCCCCGAAGTGATAGAATATAATACGTGGATTTTCAACATCTCGTTAAGAATGAAACTATTCTGAGAATGAGGGACTTCAGCAAAAAATGTGGAAAGATGTTTTGTTGAGAACTTTCTTAACAGAAAACAAACTCTTTTGATATTTTCTTCTGAAGTGCATTGCCAAATTAAAAAAATTATGTTTTATCACTTCATCTAATTCACCTTTATTTATTATTTTATTGCGAATCAGTTTCACGAAACGCCGACATTAACAAACTTTCAATATCTTTTTTTTTATTTGATGAATGAATCATCATTTCGAATAGTTCCGACAAGTAGGACTGATTGTCTGTTACTCAAAAAGCAATTCATAGATAAATCTAATTAGCGTTACTCTCGTATGGAAAGTCATTGATTAGTTACCGTGAAAAAATAAAAAAGTGCCGGAAAGTATTTCTGTGTACAAGAGAAAATAACATGGAAAATCCAAATCTATCCCAAAGGTCCAATGATTTCGTGCAGTATTTATACGCTAGAATTAATTCCCCGTTGTGTCCATTACCCACGTATTTTACAGGCCCACAGAGAGAGGCCACAGCTGCTAGAGAATTCATATTAAGGATGTTTGTCGACTTGAATCCCGATAGCGAGAAAATTATTTATTCTCACTTCACATGCGCTACAGGTAAAATTGCTGCTATGATTTTTCCCTCATATAATTGCACCTGTAAAACAGCTTTTCTTTGCTTATCTTTACCATTCTGTGTGTAGCGATTGTTTCATTAGGGTGAGTTTGGATATCTCATTTATCTTGACTAATTTATTTGACTAATTTTTCATCTGATGATTTTTTGTTTATTCAATTGCATGCTGCATGGTGATGGATTATGAACAGATACTGAGAATATTAAGCTCGTATTCTGCGCTGTCAAAGATACAATAATGCAGAATGCCCTCAAGGAATTTAATCTTGCTTGAATTGATTGTCATCTGTACACGGAGAGAAAAAAAACATCAAAAAGAAAAAAAAAGGTCTTTTATGTGATGAGAAAAAATTCTACGTGATTAGAATGATGATTGTTTTTGTTTGCAATGTATTTTTTTTCTTTTTCTTTCTACTTATTTCTGCGCTTTTTTCCCGGTGAATAAAATCAGAACGAGATAATTGGCAGTGATGTATGTTAGTAATCTCCTGTCCGAAACAATTATTCTCGCTTCTTATTATCTTCCACTTTTTCTGCTAACAATATTCCGATACTTTTTCACCCAGTCTGTCAATGGTTTCGCGATAGTTTATGGATATTCTGAATCTTTCGTGCAATTGGTTTCCCTTTCTTCTTTTTCTCACAAATAATTCCTAGACAATATGTCGACGGTAATTTATTCAGTTATTCTGAGGTGAAAAAGAATGCATAAAATTTATATTCAAGAGAAAACATGAACTAAAATGGGAAACAATGGATACAAATAAATACTAATAGTAATAAATCGTGAATAAATTAGAGGTAATTTCGCTGACAATTGGTTGATAAAATTTATGTGCGTGTATCGATAATCACATTCTACCTGTACGTTGAAATGAATTCAGAGTTAAAAGATGATGAGTACTCTTCGAATATGTTATTTCAATACAAATACTGAAAAATCATTTTTGTATGCATAAAATAAATTCACATGCATCAATCTATCTAATTTCATCTTTTTAACAATTCCTCAAGATAAACATTTGGTTGAAGTGATGAAATGTAATGGTTTATGCATGAACCCTTCGTCAATTGTAGAAATTTTTCTAATGTGCGTTAAAATATATCTTAACGGATTTTGAAAATTTTTCTATAAAATGATCTCTATATTGAGAGTCCTATAATTAACCACCATGAGATGCGTCAACTTTCTACATTTTCTCACTTCAATATAAAGAATAAAAACAGCATGAAAAAATTTTTTTCTTCTCATAACTGCATGAATAAATTTTTTTCGTTGAAAATTTGGTGCTTTAGGTGAGTAAAGACCAACTTGGAATCTTCTACAATACTGAAAATACATTCTATTGCAGTATCAAACGTATATTAATTTGATTGTTTTCATTTATAGATACGGAGAACATTAGATTTGTGTTTGCGGCGGTTAAGGACACAATTCTCCAGTCAAACTTGAAAGAATACAATTTGGTGTAGGTTCGGACATTGTGACATCCCATAGTGGATTCATCTGTATTTAATCAGAGCTCCAGATGCCACAAAGCTGCGAGCTTTAGCCACGCAATGATAACACACAAAATGAAGGAATTTAAAAAAAAACGGACTTTGTTGATCAAACTCGTTTAATGAGGTAAAAAACCGTAAAGACGGAAACAGAGTTACGATTATTGGAGACGATGAACGCCATAACAGAGAAAAAGGTATTGAAACACTAATGGGTGAAAATAACGATGGAATAAACTGCGAAATAAAAATATTTAAAAAGTAATTGTATGAAAATAACGATTTGAAAAAAGTACATGGAAATAGGCTGAAAAATGATCGAATGACTCGTGGTGCTGCGTCAGTTGCACGAGTGTACCAACATTTTAGTTAGCTAAAAAAAATGAAAATTTCCAGCGAATGAAAATTTAAAAATGGAAAAAATAAGGACCTAACTCTGAGCGTTATACGTTCTTTCCTAAAAAAACTTTTCACTGTCGATACCAACAAACTGATTTAGTTTCGTACTCTATTTGTTGAATTTGTTACCTTTTTATAGCTTAGCTTAGTCGATCGAGCCTGGCTGACTGCGACATCGCCTGATTTTTATATAAACGATAAAAAAAAATTGAGAAGTATCAATTAATGGAAAAAAACTATTAAGCAAACAAAAAAGAATAGTTCAGAGTAACCTGCGTACTATGCATTTGGTCTTGTGGGATCTCCGTCAAGAGAGGATTGATATATTAAAAAATGAGGGTGAAATGATGAAATTATTATTGACAAAAAAAATTGAAGAGTCAAGCAATGAGTGAGACAAAATAAAAAAAATGAAAATAAGAGGACAAGAAAGCTTTTTACAAATCACGATTAAGTCGGTTTAAACACAAGTGAGAGCGATTCTAGTGCCATTTACTAGCGTGGTGTTCCTATTGCAGTCCTTCGTTTAGTTGCAAAAAAAGCCAAAGTGTTTTTTCTTTCTTTCATTCTTTTCCTTAATCTTCTGTATGTTATTTTCTTTTTTGTTCAATTTATATTTAAAATGAAAAACAGAAAGAATGATTTTTTTTAAGAAGAATAAAATTTGTGCAAGAAACAACAAAGTTTTTTCTGCATGTGACTCAAATCCAAGAAATTCATCGTATAAATATTGTTATATATAATATATAAATGAAAAATGAAACATAGGAATAGTGGGCCGAGGATGAAGAGCAGCATCAACTTGCATCAATGGAGAAAAGAAACAAACAAAAATATTTAATAAATACAATTGGGAGATACAACAAGATGGAAGGAAAAAGGAATCGAAAAAAATAATATGATAAAGAATGATAAAATCCACAACTCCTTTATATTACGAAATAATTAGGAAAGCGACATCTGTTTGATGTGAAAACTTTAGGTAATTTGTAGATGAAAAATGACAGACTACAATGATTTGTCTCTGTTATTTTTCACCTTCTTCAAATGCGACTGTCGTGAAACGAAGTTACGTCGGGATTTTTTACCACAATAATTAAAAACCTAATACAAATCATGATAAGAGATTTATCACAGATTTTTCACGATGAGACATATTTACTGATCTCATTTCAAATCATTTTCGCGATCATTTTGAAAGTATGAAGAGAGAAATCCGTACGTCTGTAATGAGTCGATAAAAATGTACAATTATTTAATCATTTTGATAACGATTAATTTTTTGGAAAATCACCAAGAGACATTTTTTATAGATAATTTTTTCAGTTTTAATTACAGTCTCTTGGCATTATTTCCCAATATCCCTCGTTGCTGAAATGAATGCATAATTAACAAACCTTTCACAAGTTCTTCATCGAAACATCGCCATATGATTCTCTTCGTATTTTCAAATACTCATATAAAGCATATTAAACATAAAAAACATTCAAGATCATGAGTTTCGTTAGAAAAAATGTTTGAAGTCTAAAAGAAAGTTGAAAACATCCCAACGTCACTCCAAAAATGCCCAGAAGTCGCCTGTGTAGCGAGAGACATGAGCCCATAAGACTCCTTGAACAAAAATTAATGAAAAAACTGAAACATGGATTCAGTAAGAAAGAGATGAAACAAGTAAGTTGACTTCAGTCCCTCAGTTTTCGATAAATATCTCTGTATCTATGAGAGATTGAAAATTTTTGCAAAAACCTTTTTTGTAGCTCCTATTCCGCTTTATGAAGAACGTATTCAGAGAAATTTTAGTATCGTCCTTGGATTCTGAGATATTCACAGATAACTGACCTCGGGACGATTTTATCTCTTCGCTACTGAAATAAAATGAACAAAAACAAATACCATAGACTGGCTTATGTCTCTAGCTCCGCTTTGTATCCACTTTTACAGTGTACGTATGTATGAACTGCTCACTGCCTGCGCTCGCTCATGCTAGCCAGCGCGCTGCCCACTGCAGGTATTCTCTATAGTTCGATATATCGAAAGAAATCAGAATAAATATTTCTCCAATTTTATCAATTCATTGGTGTTCATAAGTAATTCAGTGGATTGATAAAAATAAATACGTCGAAATAAAAGAGGAAACGGAGAAAGATCAATTTGAAAAAATAATGCGTACCTACTAGAGAATACTCGCACGATCTAACTAAAAGAGAAAATATAAAAAACGGTGTTGGTTAGTTTTCGAATAATTTTTTTAATATATTTTTGTTCATGAATTACGTGACCGTAAGAGCGCTCACCAACACCGCCACGCACATCGGGCAGCATAATACGTCATACTTCGGTTTGAAACACTGAGTTTATATGAAAGAAACAAGAAAAACAAACAAATATATATATAAATACATTGGATGAAGTATAATATTAAGAGATAACAACAAAATACTATTGAATAATAATAATACTGCTTGGTTTTCAGTGAGAGTGAGATGATGAATAAAAACAAATGTGTAAATCTAATGAGAGAGCAAAATACATTCATTTAGTTCTCCTTTGTTACAAATATATTTCTTTTTTTTTTATTTCTGCGATAGGAAAAATGTGAAACAAACATAAATGTGCGAATGATCTTAATTGTTATTTTTATTCTTTCCTTTTTGTTTGCTTTCTGGACGAAAGTAAACGTTTGTGCATTTTTTAAAGCCACTGAGAAATGTGGAAAATTTAATTGTAATATTTTTTTGCGAATGAGAATTTTTTTGAAAGCTGAGTGGACGAGATTTTGAAATGAAAGGAATAGAATTGATGAGTTATTACGTATGTGTATGGATGTTTGGATGAAACTTTAACGATTTAGACGATTGTGTGGAGGAATGAGAAGAATAAAATAAAATTAAATTAAATGATGGAAAACAATATAATGCAATTGCGTTATAATGTCTGGGACACGAATGAATGAATAATTTTCATGATAAAAAGAAATCACTGAGATAAAAGGAAACATGACGACAGATGGAAGAAGAGAAAAAATAATACAAATTTGTGGCTGTAGTTCATTTGTAAATCATTTCTTGTCAAACATAAAAGAAAAAGAAAAAAATCATGAAAAAAATGAGTAACAAAAAAGCATACTTTTTTTCTGAGAAACATCATATGTTGGGTATTCATTCGGTGTGTCGCCCAAAAAAATCAATGTTTCTAACTTATTTATAATAAATACTACACATTAATGATAAAAAAGAGAAGAAAAAAAGCAAAGAATAAAATAAACGCAGTTTCTGATAAGGAGTACCCGAATAAGAAGCATGTTTAACCTCTTCTTCGTTTTATATTTAGGATAGAAACAAAATCACCGCTTCAATTACTTGTGGAATGCAAAATGGTAAGTCATATGGGTGAATTTGAACTTTTTTTTATAGCTCATTTATCTCGGAAACGAGTGGTTTCAAGAGAAAAGCTCAAAAGACCTTCCATTGTAGCCGGATTAAGGATATCCAAGCTGTTCGGGCAATTTTTTTGGAGGAAATTCTCCGAGTTTGTAAGATAGACAAAATAGAACAAGAATTTTTTCCAGGCACAAGATGAATTTTCGAGAATTTTTTTGAAAAAACGATTTTTGAAAAAAAAATTTAACACCTTGCGTCCATGAAGAGCTGCATATCCCACCCTTAAGGATTCTAAGTGGGTCAAGTGCACAACTAAATTGATCATTTTTTTCAAAAAGCTTGCATAATAAATTGTGTTAACTTGATTAATTCATCTCGCCAATTTATATTCAAATTGAGTTGGGATGTAATACATGTAAAATTTTCTTTTTATTTTTTCGACCAAAAAATCTTTGTTTTATTGACTAAATGGTGATATCCGGTGGGAATCGTGGCAACACCGCTGCTGTCAGCTGATGGTAGAGGCGCGAGGGTTTGTTGATATTCGAACGTGTGTTGGAGGTTATACATGCCTGTGAACAAACCATGGCCTCAGACAAAAATAAAAATTTATTGCGTGACAAAAGGGGACAGTTTATCTCCCAAAAATTAAAATTCGTGAAACCCGGTCTCGAGAGGGTGTAAAAAATTATCATGAGCAACAAAAATTACTGAAAGAAAGTGCAAAAAAATCAGAAGGAAGAATCGAAGGAAGAACCTTTCATTTTCCACGGACGGCGCTCCACTACTCATTAATATATGCAGATTCAATTTAATGAATTTTTTAAGAGGGAAATGTCGAGAAACATTTTGTTGGACATTTGGTTAGTCATAACAAGATCCATTGAAATGATTTCCCGAGATGAGTAGATCCTGAGACCAATGTTCTTTCGCACAATTCGTTTGAAATTCAATTATAAACATCGTTCGAGTCTCATTGATTGATAATTACGTGTGAAATCCTAAAATTCACTTTGAAAAAACATCCATCGTGAGTGACAAGTAGGGTCATGTTGACGGGGGGCGTACAAGCGGAGCAGGACAGCGGTGTGCGCTGTTGTCGCGTATCATCCATTTTGCTACGAGCGATTTTTTCCCCCGGAAGTGAGTCGAAAAATTAAGATTTCGTTCTTATTTACCCCGGTTCCTCTGATTTCGCCCAGATCAATCGATTCAGCTTTTTTTAAAACATTTTTTCCATATTTTTCGGGATTTTTCATGAATCTCTAAATTGGTCAATCTTTTATTTTAGTGCATAACCTCATAATAGCCAATGCTGGATCCTCAAATTTTGTTTATTTAAATTCTCAATAATTAATACCGGTTGAAAGGTCAAGATTGTCATCTAAATTTTTTAAATATGTCTCTCTATTACAGGAAAAAAAATTGAATTTCTGTTGATTTATTAAACATTTTCACTTGGCACCCTTAAGTGTTGACGTTTGATAAATGATGGAATATGTGGAAACGGCGGAAATGATGGCTATAGTCACGTCCGTCTCGTGAATCAACGGACATTTTTCGTCCTCAAAATGTTCGTTAGATTCCAAAGAAGAAAAATATGTATCCGTTTTATGAACCTTTAAATGGATCATAAAGAATTTCGAAAAAATGAAAATCTGATGAATTAATGCGAAAGCAATAAACAAAATAATGTTCAACTTCTCGATAGGGAATTCTTCTTTTAATTTTTCCATTATTTACCCAAAGCTTCGGGTTATTTAGCATGAGATGGGCATGATCTCTGGAGTTGACTGAATAGAGGATCGATGAGCCGATCTTCTGTCCTGTGGTGGCCCCAGAGTGGATTCCTTCCGCTTCCAGGATTTTCACTATCAGAAGGGCAAGCTTCATTTCATTGAGGCCTTTTGTATCTGGTTTGGAAGTGTCAGCTTGGAATAGAACATCATATATCGAGTTGATAGTCGGCAGAGTAGCGATTTGTGAACGCTTCTGGGGGTATAGTAGGTGCCTGACGCCGCCGAGCAGGCTTCTTGGTGTAATCGTTCTTACCGACTGTGGGTTTGTTAGGTGTGGTGGGTTTATTTGAGAGGTGTTGTTGTTTGATGTTTGGGCCCTGGAAAAGATCTTGTGGGCTTTCATCATCATCTTCTCTAGTTCTTTTGCTAGATTGAGATGTGTCCATCAAGGATGTATTGTCCAGTATTGGGGATTTATTGGAGGGAGGAATTTGGGTCTGTGGGGTATGGGAAATGGACTTCATGAATTCAGATCTGAGTTCTAGGTCATTGTAGTCGATCTTGTTCAAGTCGCAGTAATTGCGCCACTCGATGGCTGTTGCTTCTGCTCTAAAATGATCGACGAGATCCTCATCGGAAAGAGATTTGGCTGATTCAGAGAGTAGAGGGTCTTGAGAGTTTTGGTTTAATTGGTTTTGGTGGATCGACTCAACATCGCAGTAATATTTCCTAATTGACTGGTTGGGAGAGTTCTTTTTGGCTTCGGAAGCCATTTTGGGGCTTGGGGGGTAGACGTTGCCGCCGGCACTCAGACCGCGTGCGTTTTTGGGGTCAGAATTTCCAAGCTGGCTTTTAGTTGAGTAGAATACGTTAAAGTCAATGGATTATCTAAACAATTAATGTTGTGTTCGTGGTGGATGGAGTCAACCGTGGGATTCACTACTTGACTTTACTCGGAAACCGTTAATCACTAGACCGATAAAGAGGCGCATGGAAACGTCCGAACGGCGCGGTGGGCCAAAGCCAACTCATTGATCTACTTTTCTCCCTTTCGACCACCACCGAGGGGTAGTTAGGTATCTTTACTGGCGCAACAGCGGCGAGGCGGTAGAGGCACACTGATTCAGCGCAAGCGCAACGAGCCCACCGATGTTTGACGTGCACAGCTAGGTGTTTTTCGTCTCTCCAGCTTATTGTAGGTTCACCTCTCCGTTTCGTGGGCATTTTTGTTGTACAGAAACAACATTTTAAAATAGATTCAAGTAAACGATTTGTTTATTGACACGATTATCATTCCTTTAATTTTGTGCGGGTGACGAATAACAAAAAATTGAAAAATCAGTAATTCGAAGGGTGGAGGTGGCCTTGACCAACTTCATACAGGACTCAGCTGTTCGATTTAGCAGAAAGGAAGACACAATATGAGTCTACTACTTGAGGAGGACGAAAATGACGAGTAAGTGTAACGGTTCATATAGTAATTTTTTTCATTCATTTTTCGTAAAATAATCAATATGTATAGCAATAGCAGCATTAATTCCAATAGCATTAATTCCAATATTGGAAGATCAAACTATCTCTTTCAGTTTCTCTTGAATAATTTAATTTTGTGGGGAAGCTAATCAGCGTCAAAGGGGTAGTTATTCAAACGAATTTTCCATTCACCCCCTAATAAGTTTAAATTCTAATGTCAATAGTGCCAAAATAATCACTGTTGTCATTACATTGCTGATTGAATTTAAAATATCAGAAAATGAATCAGTTTGTTATTCTCTCTTGATGGTTCTTTTTGAGAATAGTAATAATCAATAAATGTTTACATCAATATCGTCATTGAAATGAGCTGAGAAAAATGAACACAAGGTTTTCATCTGAAGGAAGAATGAACGTTCTATTTCCTGTTGGCAACCAAGAGTGTTCGATCGATGGGAACTATTAATATGGCCCGCAGTTACACCCTCTTTACAATTGTGTGATTTTTATCAGCGCTTATCATATTCACAGTGTGAATGGTTTCGTTACATGATAACTGACTATATAATACTAATGTATTTAAATGTCTCAATAACAGTTATGTAACTGTTGCAGTAATTATTTGGCCAATGGTATGATCAACTCCATAATTTTTGCAACCGTTTCGACTGGGAACTTTTGGTAAACTTCCTACAGCCAATATAGGGGAGGGTGGGGTAAAATGGACAATTTAGACTTTTTTTTTATTGTTCATAACTCAGAAACAAATTTATCAATTGAGCTCAGTTTAGGCTCGTCACAAAGGAAAAGAATTGTTCTTTGTATTGAAAAAAAAAATTATTAAATTTCATCAACATTTCAACCCCTCATTAACATTTTAAAAAAAGTTAAAAATGTCCGTTTTACCCCAGCCTCCCCTATAGTCATTAAAATTAACAAAAATACTGAACTTACGCCAGGAAAAGTCAAATTTTACCTACGTTTTGACAAATGATTTGATTTATATACCTGCGTGCCATCTAGCTTTTCGACTTGAGAATCGAAAAATTAGTTCCAGAGAAAGAAATACCAGACGAAAACTATGTGAATTTTTTACATCATTTTTTCAGCAGGAGAATTGAGCCCGAAAAATCCCCTTTGCTTCCTTAAACCCCGAAACATACAGAGGACACACCCAGCTTCTGTATTCACTCGTCCCTTAATCATATCTCATCACTTCCACATTATCCCACAAACAAACGAAAAGTTTTTCAATTCCGACAGAGAAAAATCGTGATGCAATGGAAATATGATGGAAATGAGTAACAGAGTGGAAGATAGAAAGGGGGATGAAGTAAAAATTAGTTCGTATGCGCATGGTGGTCCTGTATCAGTGCCAGCGTTTATTGAATTTTTTGTCACTGTTGATACGTTTACCTCGTGCCGAAAAGTACATTTTCGTATACTCGTCAACGAAATAGTATATTTCGTAACGAGTGCAAAAAAGTGTTTTTTGGCGAGTGGGAGGTTTATATCACGAGCCGAAGGCGAGTGATATAATCCCACGAGC